TTTTTATCATTTTGAATTATTTTTAGATAGTTTTATTTTTTTATTAACTTTTTGATGCTTTTTATAATTGTTATTAGTAGTTTTTAGATAGTCATTTTACGACAATTCTCTTTCGTACACAAGAAGAATGTACATAGGGTATATATTTTAATATTCATATTCTTGAATCTGTAAATAGTCTATTTTTTTTTAATCTATGAATAAAGTTATTTTTGTTATTATTATTATTATTATTATTATTATTATCATTATTATTATTATTATTATTCATTCCTAGTGCCTGCTACGCAGGTTAAAGAATTAGAAGTGGGAGCTGTGGTTGCAAGTGTAAATGATACCCCAGATGAAGGTTGGTTGGTGAAGAAGTGGAAACCAAGCGTGAAATTCAAGATGAGATTTTACCAGAGCAACTTAAAAAGACTTTGGAAAACTGACTTTGTAGATTATGTTCTTAGTTCAAGTGTGAGTACCTCGATTGAGGACAAGAGAGCATTAGAAATGATGGAACGGTCACTGGAGTTGTGGATGAAAAATATTAAGTAGCATTGCTATGGCGCCCAGCGATCCCCTTATTTGCCAAATATATAATAAGTCCACGTTTGCACTCACGTCTTTGAAGCAAGAACTGTTGCAGGGTTCAGACTCAACCAATAATATCATGGGGTGTTGATACGTTTCCGGCAAGAGATTGTGGGCATTGTAGCCGACATACAATCAAACTACTACCAGGTAAGAGTTGAACCCCAGGACTGTGATGCTTTGAGGTTTTGTGGTGGCCTGGAAGGGACTTTTCAGCAGAACTTGTTGAGTAGCGAATGGTCAAACACATTTTTGGGGCGAAATCTTCACCGAGCGTTATTAATTTGTGTTTGAAGAAAACTGCCGAGATGGGCGGGGAGCAAAGCCCGGAAGTAGCGAATGTCGAAGTAAAAGAAACATGTACGTTGACGACTTGATGAAGTCGACCAAAACAAGAGTAGATGTAATCTCGCTTGTGGGTAGACTGAGTACCCAGCTCAAGGTTTTAAGCTTATTTGTTAAAAAACTCAGGATTTTTAGAGACACTTTACTCTCAGTACTTGTGTTCGCGAATAACAATTGCTGACTGTTAAATGTTTCACCAAATTGTATTTCTTTTATTGATTTATTGAACCCTGTGTCGTTTGTTTTTAGTCGTTCACGAACATCGCATGCCTGAGTACTCAGAATGCCGCGTGTTTCAAACGCTTTTAAAGATTGCACATAAGCTTAACAAAACCATAAATAAAAAATAAACATAATAAAGAATTTATTATCTTGAAGCGTAACTCTATCAATGTTCATTCAAACGTGAACAGCTCGCACTGCAAATTTGGCGCTTATCAAAAGTGAGAATCGGCTGGCTGTAAACTTGATTTTGGATCGTTTTTAAAAGGTTTTCGCTTAAAGCGCATCATTACCCTGCATACCACATAGGAGCAGATTTTTCTGACTGAGCAGCGCCGACATTATGGAATTCTCTCCATGAAAACGTTTTATAATGTAGTCAATTCTATAATTTGTTGTGCAAAGGAAGCGTGTGCTTCGATCGTCCTGAATACTGAATGAGTTTAATTTGTCTTGTACTAAAAGCGCCTCAAACTATACTGTGTATCTCAGATGTGATGTATAAAAAGTATAAAAGGCTGGTTTACACGCCACCAGATTTTTCGGCAAGATTTTGTAAAGTAAACTTGTTGAACAAAAAAAACGTGTCGGCCTCCCTTTTAGACAGAGGAATGTAACCTAGAAAGTGCGACGTATAAATTGGCTGCCATCGAGGACTATTGTGTCTTGTAACCGGCCTTTATAGCATAAAATTACATTTCGGGGCTGTCCATTTAACCTTATAAAATAAAGGTGGTCTTAGGTAGGCGACTGGGTTATTTTGTGTAGCAAGAATTTGCTTTCCAGGCCTAATCTATTGTGTACATAAAGATCCACTAACTCGATGTAAAATTTGTTTAACCCTTGAACTAGTTGCAAATTCTTTTTCCCTAAAAACACTTAGCCTTTCCCTCAAAGTTCGTTCACGGGGATGTGCCCTAAAGTTAACTGATTTATGGATTACAAGTTTATTGGCTGATTTAAATTTATAAACGGGAGCTTCGCTTTCAGCCCTAGCTAAATCTTTATATCATCTAAAATACAGTTCTTCTACTTTATGGCAGTGGTACATAGTTGGTACTATTCCGGCAGTTAGTGGAGGAGGGAAACAAATTTACTTGAGCGCCTCCCCACCAAGTCAGCTTAACTTCCAACGCATTTACGTCAATTCTTTTGCATTCTTCTTTCCCTGGTTTATTTTCTCTCCAGAACGCAGTACTCTGGGTAGCGGAGAAGCTGCTTTTGTCTTTTGTGTAATCATAGGTACAGCATGCAGCAGTCCACATTGCTAAGGGAACGTTTACGCGAAAGCTTGTATCGTCTTGAAGGATACTGAATCCGCCGCTGCCGAAGAATCTCCATTTTTTGGGATCTTTATCAATGGTTGAGGGAATCGCACCGACAACAATGAACATCTGAACGTTTCGTCCCTCACTTTTTGTTCCCGCGTTTATACAATTCAGTCGACCCCATGTAATGAGCCTCTGCTCGCAAGTTCTCCACGGAACAGAATTGAAATCTCCAAACTGGGGAACAGCATTAGTGTAAACGAAAGTCTGTTTCTTTTTTTCGAAATCCCCTATGCCAAACATGGATGCTATCAGATGTCCCCTGTGCATCGCAATGGTAAATCTCTTAGGCGAAGACACCGGTGCGTTCTTTGACTTAAGCCAGTCATCGTCTGGGACTACATCGTCCATATCGCCATACGTGCGCTTTCTTTTGAGGTGAATTTTTAGTTCTCGGTTTGCAGCCTTAAAGTAGTCATTTTCATTCTGCTGAAAAGATATATCCAGCTTCGTGCTGGGTCGAAATTTACCCTCTGCCCCCTTCCGACGTCCTTTGTCGTGCCGCACCGACAGTTTGCTTCCTGTAATTACCGTCGCTGCATACAACGGTATTCGATTGTTACAGTCATAAAGTATTGCCACATCTTTACCTTCACCTTCGCATAAAAAAGCCAAGTTTTGTCCGAAGAAACCCTTGACATGTACGTACGCTTCTAGACCGTTTGGTGAATAATCTGATATGTTCAAGCCAGGCTTTGCTATTCCACGAACATCACAGGCACCGAAGAAATTACATTTACATTCTTCTAAGCCTGCAAGCCCTGCGGTACTACATCTGCCCTGTGCTGCTATCTCGAAAGGCATACAGTTAACTAATACAAATATGATTGAAGTGAACCTGGCCATGGTTAGACAACACTAAATGACCAAGAGCCGAATATCGAATTTATCTTCGGCACAATACTAAAACGAAAGCATGCCCTAACATGTTCTGATTGGGTACTTCAGAAAAAAGCCGAATATGGTTTGAACATCCCTTATAGTTGGTAACTTCCTGTTTTTCCTCCGCTGAAAGGAGGCGGATTGTAAAATTGAAAGTCGCGAAAAGCAAAAACACTTAAGAGTTATTGAAAGATTGTTCTGATTGTTCTGATTGGGTACTTCAGAAAAAAGCCGAATATGGTTTGAACATCCCTTATAGTTGGTAACTTCCTGTTTTTCCTCCGCTGAAAGGAGGCGGATTGTAAAATTGAAAGTCGCGAAAAGCAAAAACACTTAAGAGTTATTGAAAGAGGAATAACAGTTTCGAAAACGCCCAAGAAAAGATTCCAGAAAAGTGAAAGCAAATTCCAATCAAATGGTTACACCACAGAATGTCTTTGCAAAGTCACATTTTTAGAAACGTTTCATGTTTGCAAAAATGAATTTTGGAGTGAAATGTAACAGTAAAAGTTTATAAAGCCCTAACCGGGATTATCAAAAGTAAAACAAGAAACAGTTTTTTAAATAAATTGAACCGTCTCCAGAGTCAATCTCCTATTTCCGTCCGTCTAAATGACCACCGCTAAAAATAATAAATACAGCAGCAAAATAAATATAAAGGGATTGGACATACTTGCCTTAAAATGGAACGTTATGATAGGTAATAACACACAAGGATCAATTCAAGTGTGTAATTAGTGCCTTGTAAAGCACGTTTCAGCACAAACTTGTGGCAGGAAAATTATTTTATCAGGCTACCCGATTTTGCCCCAAAGAAATGGTTTCTGTCAAAATAAACTCTATTCATTTCGTAATTTATGTAAATACAAGGGACAATTGTCACAATGACCTTACATGGGCCGCCCCTTAAGAAACGAAACCAGGTTAAAACTACTAATTTTTAGTTAATCCTCAATCTCTTTTACACTGTCTAGTAAGCCGAAAGAGTCCGTCCGAAAAAAGATTTGGAGGGTGTTTGCTCGTTTTTTTTTCCAAAAGGGAAACAACCACGACGACAACGGCAGTGAAATCATCAATAACGAAATTTATTATATGGAGGAGAGTGTTTTACTGGGAACTAAACCACTCATAGATTCCATACGCCACTTCATCCGGGACCCGAGTGGCGTATTTTCCGTATGTCACCTTTGTGAGTGTCGTATCGTTCAATGACGTCACGATTTTTTGTTGAATTGGTTTCTCCATATAATAAAAAGAACATTACACGTTGGCTCGAAGATATGAATTTTATGTTCTTGCCACTCGAACATAAAATTCATATCTTCTCGCCACCGTGTAATATCCTCTATATATTTGCATTCTTTCAAACTTCATCGCGATTATTCCAACCCGATTAACTTGTCAGGAGTAGGCCAGGTTTCGTGGAGTTAATTTGTTAGACACCGCATTTAAGATAAATCAAACAAAGAAAAATTCGTTGTTGTTCGTTTACGTGCTCCACAAATCTGTGAACTTAGGCAATTTCACTTCGTAGTCGTGTAGTGTCGGCAATCTAATGTACGTTCAGAGTTGTTGTTGTTGTTGTTGTTTTTTTCCAGGGAAGAGCTGCACTTCGCCCGCTAAGCGCAATGGGGCGAGTGGGTTTCAGTATGTGATATTACTGCCATTGTTGATGCATTAAACTTTAACTTAAGATTACAAACATATTAAGGCTTTTTGCCTTCATATTACGTCCATTCTCAAGATACCATGCGATATTGCTACAGAATGACACTAAGGTGACTAGCATAAATTAAACGCATGGCTGGCAAAAACGAGATGAATTCCATCAATTTTAAAAGGATAAATTTTAAAATAAGGCACTTGGAAATTTTTATGGTGATGATATCAGCAGTAAATTGATAGCATATCAGAAACATTTTTATTTCACCCCTCTGTAAGAAAAAATGACGAATTTTTGGCTCAATGCAGAAAGGACGTCTCCCTTGGATTTTTTAGGAATCTATAATGGCATGGACGTCCGAGGCAGAATGCTAGTTCTCGTAAAATTGTAATTTATATGACCACATTCCATCAGCGTGACCTTAATAAAACTGCATCGACATAGAGACTCATGAATGAAAAAACTTACAGATTAGACTTACCATGGTTAATTCCAAATTCACCTCTTTCCAAATGATGATTTGGCTTCACTTCTGAAAGCAAACAGTTAACAATTGACAAGAATTGGCACACCTTCTTTAATTAAGAAAGTAAGCAAGATGACGAGAAATGTAAAATAAGTTTTTATATTTTGTAACGTTGTATTGTAATAACTTCAGTCCATCTTCACGTGTCATTTACCAATCTTGCTTTTCCTTTCCTCTACTTCATTTCTTCCTAGTTATAAATTACTTTATGTTTTCCTCTGCCCACCTCGATTAGCCAAGCTATTTGCGAGCAGAGGATGTTTGCATGTACATATATGTTTTAATTTCATTTTATTTGTAACTAAGTAACGTAAACTTCATCTTAACTTCAACTTCACTTCCTCGCTTAAATTCCTAGGAAAATCTCTAAAATTACTGAAAGGATTATAGATATACGTCTATACATATTTTCCGGTCTGGAAAACAATGGAGGAACTGAAAACGCGGCCACCCTAGGCGTGATCCCGAAAATCTTAAACGAGTAGAGTGGCCATTCTCGCGTCGACGCCCGAATAATGCCATTTAAAATAATGGAGGGCATACATTCTACTACTTATTACGTGCAAGGCTTTCTTCATCAAACCCGACAGTTAGAATGGAAAGCAATAATTTTTTCCTTAGTTAACTGAAGGAACAAGAACTCCATCAACAACCATAATATCTATCCGATTTCGGTAAAACGAAGCAGCCACCCTTTCGCTTAAACAAGTTTAAAAATGATCGAACATATTGGGATATTAACTAAATTAACATTGTAATGTTCCTGTCCTCGGCAGATGTTCCAACCCTCCAGATGTGAGCTCGAGCCTTCCTATCTAAGTAACTGTCTTTTTTAAAAGACATTTCCGATCTCTGAGGTTAACCGAATAAGCAACGTTAAAATTTTACTTAAAAACACAAAATATGACCCATATCTGACCAACTGGCACTTAAATTCCAATGTTTCTGATTACAAACTTGTTTTGGATCTTGCCGTGACGTTTGCAAACATTTGTCGTGCTTTCTAAAACGTTTTTTTCAGCTTTGTGCTAAAAATCAAAGTTAAATTTATGCTGAAGCATTGTATTGTAAGTACTGACTAAAAACGTTTTCCACGATACATACGATGAACTCACCGATACTAAACTGAGGACGTTCTAAGGATTGCGTGACGTTCCGAAACTTCATGGGAGCCAAGGCATATTGATTACAAACAGACCTAACTTAAAATCGTTTCCCGATATAAGATTCACTTTCCCTTCAAAGTTCAAACATCACATGTAAAGTTGACAATTTCTCAAATTAGGAAATAAGCAGATAAAAACGGTGCCAAGTAAAACTGGCATGATAATCAGGCATGAAAGTAGAATATTTTCGCTTAGATTCGATAAACGAAAAATCAAGAAGTAAGGCCCGGTTCAGACACCGTACTTTTCATGAGCCGAACCAAATACATTGAATTAAGTACATGAAAAGTTCGGCGTCTGAATCAGTTAGGAACGCCTGTTTCAATTTGGAACAGCCGTTCTTTTCGCCTAGCCCGGCCGGGAATTTCGCCCTTGGATCGACTTTGGAACGCCTTTGATTCAGACGCCGAACTTTTCATGTACCGAACCTAATGCATAAATTCTTATAACGTATTTTGTAAGCAGTTTGACCGAAATGAGCATTTTTCTCGTTCTGAATTCAGTTCGGCTGGAATTAAGATCGGCGTCTGGATCAATTCAGCCGGTCTAATTAATTTGGGTCGGCCTTTAATAATTCGAATTAGGTTCGGCTCATGAAAAGTTCGGCGTCTGAACCGGGCCTTAACGTGGTTCCAAATCTTTCTATTGTCTGAAAATTTTACTTGCCAACCGTTTCGTTTTCATTTGTTAACTTTGGCATTGACGTTTTAAGCCGCTCTCAGGGACTGTAATAAGCTTTGCCCTTCGTTCAAAGGGAAGCGTAATATAAGATATCGTTATATATTGCCTATTGCCGCGAGCTTACCGTTTGGTTTATAACTTCGCGGGCAAGAGAACAACAGATGCGTCAAAATTTCGCAGGTATTTCGTCTCAGGCGAAAGTTCGCAACCCGTTCGCCGAATTTCGCGAGAATTTCGGTGAATTTTGGCTAAGTAGAATCACCCACGTTTATAAACCGAGACTCTCTTGCTTTATGTAAGTTCTCCTTTCAAAATTCGTTGCTTTGTTATATAACACAGAATATCTGTTCTTTCTTACCTGGACTGAGAAGAAATCTCCTTCGAAGATTCTGAAGTTGTGTCTGCAATTAACGGAAGCTATAGCCACTTTTAACGCTTGAATGTTTTGCTTTACCTGTGAAGGACTCTGGGGAATTTGACCCTTTGTCTTTTCATAATTATGCGGGAATAAGTAAGACGGAAATTGAAAGAAATACTCCAGCGTTTTATCACTTGATCAAACGGCGTCTCCCCAGGCCCTCTCAGTCAATGCAGATATCCACGTGAACCACATTTGCCGTTGAGCACTCCTCGTGTCTACACAAACATGACAGCTTCAAGTGAAAATCACCCAAAAGAAATATTCTGCACATCTTTTCATTTCCTAATTGGAGACTTTTTGAACTTAAAACCGTCGTTTACCATTTGCAGTAAATGGGATTCGTACATTCGTGTAAGTGACTGAAGTGACCCAGGTACCAACCACACATTGACAAGTGAAAGCGTAGTGCATTTGAAAGGAATGATTCTAAGAAAATAACAGGGGCATTGAAAGGTTTAATATCTATTGTCATTGCTCGAATTCGAACTTCTGCCTTTAATGAAAGCT